GGGACAATATGCTGACTCTGTAAACCACTTAGAGAGGGCTGAAAGCCCTATGAAGCGGTATATAAGTCTAACTGCTCTTCCGAGTCCCAGGGCTTCTTTCCCTGCGAGGCCGCCTGTCCGTCTGGGGGAGCTTCCCTGCCACCAACCAAGGGACCCCCTACTCCAAGCAGAAAACCCCTGAAGGGCACCTGAAGGAACAGGTGATTTGGGGAAGAGCTGCATATGGATATCCACTAGCACCGTGATGGTGAACCGGTGGCACGCAGAGCCCTCTCTGTGGGCACACGAGCAGTCGCCCCATCTGAGCTCCACCGCGCATGCGTAAGTGCCTGCCGCTGGCTAGCTGGTCTTCAGGTCTCTGCCGTGCATGCGCAAGGGGAGGGGGGAGTGTTGCACGTGTATTGCATTACGGGTGTGCTTTTGGCACACGGCCACGAAAAGGCTGGCCATCAGTGCACTAGCAGCACAGGCAGTGGGGCCTGGAGCGGGACAACTCCCCATCATGGCCCACTGAATAACAGAATTGGAAGGGACCTTGGAGGTCTTCCAGTCCAACCCCCTTCTCACCACAACCAACTCACTGTGGGGCGCTGCAGGATTCACTTAATTCCTTTTATTTATGTTGGCCACATTTTCATCTAAGTAGTTTTTTTTCTCTCTCTCTCCTATCAAAGGAAATCCATCCTCCGGTTATCAGCTTTTGTAATGCTTTGATGCACAAGGAGACGAACTAATCCTTTCTGCTAGGGTGAGTTATCCTACAGCGGGTTGGCCGTGGTGAGTAGTTTACTCTGAGTTGTCCTAGACCCATGGACCTGGGCTTTATTTTACTGATTCTTTTATTTGTGAAATTCATTGGCTGCCTATCTCATGGGGGGGACTAAAGGGCTTACAAGAACAGAAAGGGAGAAGAGAGCAAAGGCCCTTAGGGGTCTATACCGCTTCATACTGCTTTGCACCCCTAAGCGGGTTATGATGTCAGCATCTCCCCCCCCCCCCAAACAACAATCTCCTTTTATCCATCTCAGGAGGAGTGTAAACAGAAGCAAAACAACTGAGCCGTAAAATAAACAAGAACCCAAGGAGAACACCAGGGTTCCAAGGCCCACCTTCCTCCCAGCTGACCCTGGAGATCCTCTCCCCCCCCCCCCCGCGAGGCTCACCAGGGACCCCAATGATACTCACGCGTTTCACTTTGACACCCAGGTTTTCTTCAATGAGGTCAAAGTCATCGTCTTCCAGGCGGTCATCAAAAT